TCAATATAGCACACATTATACGAAACAGCCTATCGGCGATTTTTTTTTGTCTAGTTCGAATCACATGGAAAAGTTTATTTTCGAATTAATTCATTTTCGTTATTAATTCTCATTTTGAATTCGATTTGATGGGCTCACTCTCAAAAGAGATACGGTCTTTGTAGGGATTAAGTTTAAAAATTTAACATATATATCTATTTCCAAAAGGTTTTGACATAGTATTTACTCTTTAGACTTTAATAGTAATATATTTGTTTTGTTGATTCCTGGTTGTAATCCATTCGAATTATAATTTTATGTATTGTAGTTTCATATCAAGCATTATTTTAACATATTTACCATCAGTGTTTCTAATGGAAATCTAAAATAAAATGTACAGTGCACGCTGTTTTGAATGAGCAAAGTGTACATTTTCACATGTTTTCATTAGCAAAGTGTGCAAAATGTACGGTGTTTACGCGACATATTATAAAAAATGGGAAAAACATCTTCATATCTGTTTTACCCAGTAAAAAATAGAGAATAATAATAGATACGTAAATAAAAAGCAAGGAAAAAGCAATCTGTGTGTAATTCATTTAGGACGATTCACTACACGAAAGTATAGCATTAGGAAAGCACATCAGCAAAAGAACCTTGATTTATTATTTTTCAAAATTCTAAATAATCAGAAAACCTATCAAAACTGTCATGGTCCTCTTCATCATCATGAAAACCGGTATGATTTGAAGAAAGCTTAGTTGAATATTGCAATTTTTGATTTTTTTTTTCTGTGGATATCGCAACAGTATCGGAAACGAATTTATATAAATCTGAAAAGAAAAGAAATCACGAAGAGAAAAGATGTCAGTCAACGAATAGAAAAAATAAAAAATAGATCAGAATCGGATCATCGGTTAAATATAATTTTTGAGCTAAAAATACATTTAAAATCTCACTTGCAAAGTGTACAATGTACACTCTACTTTTTAAGACAAGTGTATAGCAGCGTGTATTTTCAAAGCTGCAAATGTTTGTACATTTTGCTTCTGCTGTGTACACTTGCCATTAGAAACCCTGTTTACCATTATTTAAGTTATCTCCTTCTCCCCGTCTGTGAGGATGTAGGTGCAAAAAAAGACATATCTCCAACATCTACGCACTCTCTCTTTCGCTCTTTGATAAAGTAAAATATACAATCATTTATGTTCATTAAAAACTTTCTATATTAAAAACACTAAAAGCAAAAGAAAATTTTCTTAACAAACTTTGATTTATTTAGTTATAATATTTATTAATAAATAGAATAGAATAGAATAATCGAACTCTTTTGACAGTCAAAACAAAAAACAACTACAAGTTAATGTTATTGAAGACATCAATATTCTTTTCTCTATTCAACACTCTTCTTATCTTATTTGACACAACTTATTGACAACCTTTGAAGAAAATATTATTTTACTCAACTAAGCCCACTATTGGTAGAAAAATAAAATTATTTCAGTTTTGAGATCACACGTTGAATGTCTTTACCAATTTCAACTACATTTGCATCTTCAGACGACAATGACTGACGATAGATACTCTCTGCTTGTTTATAATATTCTAATGCTTCTTTCAAATTATTCATTGCCTCATATAAAGTACCAATGCTTTTGTTACTTGAAGCAATGTCCTGATGTTGAGGAGGTAGTGACTTCACTCTAATATCGAGCGACGTTTTATAATGGTTCATAGCAAGCTGATATTCGTTAGTACAACGATAAACGTCACCTATGCCAGTATGATTTATAGCCATATCTGGATGATTTGAAGGCAGCTGCTCCTGTTGAATAGCCAATGAGCGTTGGTAATATTTCAATGCATCTGAATATTCCCTTTGAGCACAGCAAATACGGGCAATACCATGATACAAAGAAGCCATATATGGATGATTTGTAGCATTTGCACGCTTGTAATGGTCCATTGCTGTTTTGTAACATTCCATTGCTTCATTATAATCATTCTTTTCCATATGAATATTCCCAATACAACAGTATAGACCACCAATGTAGACAATATCATCTGGATCCGTACGCATTTTCCTAGTCAATGCTCTTTGAAACCATCGTAGACTCCGGTCAAAATTCTTTCTTTCTTTATTCAGCATACCATATGAGACACATAAATGAGAAAATGAACTATCATCAGGAGCATATGTTTTGCGTAGACCGGAATATACTTTCTCCGCCGAATCATATTTCCCCATAAGCTGCAGTACATCACCGAAAGATTTAAGATCAGTTTCGTTTTCACCACCTCCATAATCTGCCTTCAATTGAATGAAAAGCTTCTTTAAATCATGATCATCATCTTCTACTAGCTGCATTTTAATTATCCAGATTTTTTCATTATCGTTTCGATAAATATCGATCAAACGAAATATACATCCAACCATAAATAATATTTCACACTCCTGACTAAAATAACTGAGTGAACTGATATCAGCAAATGGTTTTGATTTTACTACACAAGGATCAGCTTCAATGATAAATAATATTCGATGTAAGTCATTTGAAATGGTCGGATAGTTTGAGAACTTTAATGCGACATCACGATCAGCACTTGTTGAAAAAAATGAATTAATCGAAATGAATTGACCAATCGATTGTTGAAGAGCCTTCAATTCATCAGCAGGCATAGCTTGATAACGATATACACAAACAGGGGATTTACATTGATGTGTTTTTATTTGTTCATAAATATCACGAATTACAAAACGAAATAATAATAATAATTCAGTATTCTGTACTCGTAAAGCTTTGTTTAACATACTAAATAAAAATGCATCACGAGTATACCACCATATAGCTTTTCGAGCTTTATAATCACATTCAAATTCACGAACAACGGCTAGTTGAGGTTCGTTGCCATGATATTCATCTTTGCAAACTTGAATAAGTTTCTTTTTGTCAGCATCATTAGATTTCATTCTAAGAAGAACATCGATTAATAATAAAGAATGAATAAAATGACCATTGAGTTCAGTTGTTGATTTATGGGCATTACTACTAACAGTATAAATATTCATAGACATTGGTTCTTCTTGTTTTAGTCGATCTTTTTGATCTAATTTGATTTGATCAACGAGATCATCAAGTTTAACAATGACACCTTTTATCTTCAAACAAGTAAATGAAAAACATTAAGAAATCAAAAATAAAAAACAAGAGTTTCATACTTTAGTAAATTGTTTAGCCCACTGTTGATATGCATTTTTATCCCAACAATAGATATAAACAGCGGAGAGTTGTCGAAAATTATGAATCTGAGGAATAAATTCTTTGCTTAATCGACCACTAACGATAAGAATAAGTCGATCTTGTGTAGAGCAAGCCATAATATATTGTTGACATTCCTTTTGATCATGAAATATTTTGAGATGATTGATGATTGAACGAAGTTGATTTTGGGCATATCTATTTTCTTCTTTTGTATTGACTTCTGCATCAAGCCAAAGAAGAGAAAATATTTCCAAATTATCACTGTGTGTTCGAGCGATTGTATTATTCGTAGCAGTCATGTTTGTATGAATGATAATATTCGAATCAAATACTTTGATATAAATATGTTGGCCTTATCGTTTTATTTTTCCATGTAGTATAACTCATCAGTCCATATGTATATTATGCTTTCTTTTTACTTGGTTTTTTCATCATTTTTTATCGTACAGGTGATCGTTGTCGTTGTTTTTAATCGAAAATTACTGAGGTGTGAAATGTACAGACAGAATAAATGCCTATGGTTTTAACGACCAATAGAATGATAAGTTTTTGAGTCATATCTTACCATTTATCTATATATTTTAACTATACGACTATTTGAATGTAAAAATATGATTCATGTACATAAGTGTTTTCATTCTGAAATAGTATGCATGTATTGAAACTGTACAAAAAAATTGTTTTCTATTCTGTAGTATTACGTCAAATCAAGTAATACCCCTTCTATTTTTTATTAATTTCTTGAAATAAATATTTAAAGAAAGTTCAAGTGTATTTTTCTTTATCTTTGAAGATAAATTAATCTGTTTTTATTTAAAAGTCGACTGATGAAGATGGTTGTTTTCTATAAAAGAGCGAAAAGAAAAAGTTTTTGATTATCAAATAGTCGAATTTATAGATGAATAGATCAAAGACATGCTTCATGACATTAGAAAGATAATCAAAAAGTAACTGTCAACATAAATTAACAAAAGTCGAAGTTATTATTCGATTAACATTCTGAAAAATGATTTTAATTGTACATACATCAAATAATATAATAAGAGACTATGACTGTGAGTGTCACTTTGTCTTATAATCAAATTATGAGTAAGAAATTTAGAATTTAATTAAATTTATTGTTTCAATAAAAAGGAACTTTTTGTAGCAATGAATAAATCTGACCTAGGTGATAGAATAATCTTGTATTTCTTTTGTTTAGAATAATGAGAGTTGAATGATTGCTTGAATTTTCAGATATAAAATGAATACATGTATGCACGAGAAGAGCTCAAAAGATGGAAATCTATTCATTTATAAAATAACAGTCATGTTGGAAAATGACGATGTGGTTATGGATAGTTATGGAGAAGTCTTACATCCAATCATACACACCAGTCCACTTCCATTAGACTCGCAGCAACAATCGCAGCTACACCTACACTTACCCTCTGCTCCACTGATCACAGTTAAAATCATCAGACTCAACGCACTGTCTTGAAAATATCGGGAAGAAAACTTGATCCAACAGTAACAGTTCTATAGGTCGAATAAAATATGTATCTTTGGCCACGTATGATAGCTATGAATGAACAAAGAAAGAGAAATGTTAAAGTCAAACAGTTTATTACAATCAGACACAATCATTTAATCAGGGGTTTCGTGTGGCTCATAACAGGACCATGATCTTTTGCTCATAGATAACGACGCAACTGTTCGAAGAAATCATCCATAGGTACTCCATTGTAGTACTTCCTAGCATTATCGACCGATTTAGTATTTCAGAAAGGTTTTGAATGATTGAAAACACATAGATGGTGAGTCTTTGTATCTCTATTGCCAATGATCTCTCATCAGTGCAGTTTATAAATGGCATAAATACATGGATCTAATATTTATCATAATAATACATAGAGAAAGATGAAAAAAATCTAGTGAAGATCATTAAACCAGTAGCAATCTCAAATCTTTCTCAAGGCTAATACTTCAATGTTAATAGATGTCAATATTTCAATACCAATCATGCCAAAATCAGTAATATCTGAGTGGTGTGGGTGTAGTTGTGACTGTGGGCGTGTGGTATAAGTGTGGCTGTGAGTTTGTGGGTGACTTATGGATGTGAATGGCGGTAGGTCTTCTGTTCAGCCAGACCTACCATTCCCGAATCACACTGACATTATCCACATCTACATTTACAGTGTGACCCATCGAAGTTCGGATATGTGACGAACTCTCCAAATCGAACCTCTATATCCCTACATCGAGCGGTCGCAGCTCTGTTAGCTGTGACATGTATTACAAATGCCACATAGTAGATTACTGTACCAAATCTTCCAAGCGATGTCTGCAGCGAAAAGACCAATGGATCGCCCACGTACAATCTGGCGGAAATATATCGAGCATCTATGTCAAGAATGTTTAAGACTTCGATGGATCGATGTGATTACTGTGGCACAAGACGGAAGCCATTGGAAAATGCTACTGAACGAATTTAAATCCCGATCTAAAAGAAATAATGGACAGAAAATGAATGAAAAATGATTGATATTATATGTTAGCCATGTATTAATTGCAATATTAAAATCATAATTCATTGTTATACAAGAAAAATTTTATTTTATTATTTTAACCCTTTGGGAGCGGGATTTTTTTGGAAAAATAAAATTTCTCTTTTTCCGTGTATTTCGTCATAACTCAATCTGGATTTTTATTTTATAAAAATTTTTTTATAAAAATGCGTCTTTAGAAATTTTTCAAAGTGTGATACAGTTGAAAACAAGGTACAATACATAAGCCAACATTACCTTAAACACACTCATATCTTGTTTTAGTATTTTTTTTTTTGGATCTATTATTCTATTATAACAGACATGCCAGCTTCACCTATTTGTTCGTTCAGATGTACCTTCAGCTGTATAGTCTTGAATTAGTAAAGGAAAGTACCGTACAGTAAGTCTCATTGGATTTTCCAAAGGTGTTCTTCCCTTCTTTTCGCTTTTTTGTCTTCCAATAGATTCGATAATAGATCGAATCACGTCTAATTGAAAGTCCAACAGATGCGTTGTTTTTCCGGCCTTGAGCTTGTATAAAATGAACGCATTATATAAAGTGATATCAACCAGATAAAAAAAAAACTTTTTATACCACTTTATATTTTATCGTATACATTCTGAAAAACTGATCTGCATATTCGATTTGTCTATAGCTTCCATGTTTTCATTATAATCTTTGATACAAATTGACTTCACTATAAGATTTGAGGTAACATGATTGATTTTGCCCATGGGTGCCATGGTTGGTTCCTGAATAGTTGAAAGCATATGAATATCACGTCGATCTTTCCATTTCAATGCGAGAAGTATATCTGTGTGTCTAAATACTTGTTGGTATTGTGCCAATTTGATTGCTTGTAAATTAGTTAAATGTATTCGATCCAATCTTACAGTACCACATGCTCTAATCTACATAGAATGTAAAGTTTCAAATAGAATAGGAGAAGAATACCAGTTGTCAACATATAGATTGTGACCTTTCTGTAAATATTTCTCCATTAGCTTCATAACAAGAGATCCAGATGTATCTAACTTCTTGTCACGATAAATTAATCTAGTAGATTCAGTGTAATCAATAAAGTCCAATATGAAACCGGTACGACAATCACACAAAACATACACTGACACCAAATCTGTTCCGTTTTGAAGGAATATATTGTTTGAAACTTAGCCTACCCTTCCATAACATAAGGTTCTCATCGATTACCAAATTCTGGTATGGATTGAGTGAAAGATGAAATTTTGTCTTCATATCATCAAGAAAAGGCGTTACTTTGAACAATCTATGTTCACCTGTATAGTTTTTATTGTTATTGAAATGTATAGATCTAAGCAAAGTTAGATATCTGTCTCTTGAAAAGATCTGACTGAATACAGGAGTCGATATTAATTCATCGATGGACCAGTAATCTTTTAAATTATATTTTTTTACATCAGTTATCAGCATTGCTGTAGCCAAAAAGACATACATTTAATCAATGTTTGTATCTATCCAAGAAGCAGCATGGGATAATGTACTTTTAAAATTTTGAGGAGTGTCCGAGGACTGAGGAATAGGAATTCCTACTCAGTTCCCCGACATTTCCTTGAATGCTAAAATTAAAAAAATACAATATCCACGGTATTTATTACTCTTACACTCGTTTTCATCAAGAAAATTGTGCACATGAACGTATGAGTACGAAAATTATTGCAAAAAAAGCATTATCCTGACTTTCATGAATGAGGGAACTGTGATGGAAATAATGGTCAATTCCCATTTCCCCAAGGAATTATCGTAGCTACACTAACAATTCCTCTACAAATTAGGAATTCCTATTTCTCAGTCCTTGGACACTGCTGATTTTACATTTTAGATTCTGTACTTGCTTGAGTGAGTCCGATGTATTCCTACACCACTTGACGCAATATAATAAAGAACAAGAAAGAATAGGAGAGAGAGAGAGAGAGAATGAAACGAAACCGGCTAGAGAACTAGCGCACTAGTGAATGTACTAGTGAACAAGAAAAGAATGGCACGGATACATACATATATATACAAGCATGTTGGAAAATACCAAGTATGACATAAACGAATATTTTGGGATAAGTCTAATATAAAACATATGATAACACATTGGGAAAAAGCACAACATGTCATATTGAAAAAATCCAGTAAGTGACACATGGATATTTCCAACACTTTCAAATATCTCAGAACTCTCTACTTGAACATGTATCAAACCAATTTACTTTATCCTTATAGAGACAGGAACGTTTCTTGCAAAGATTTTAGACTTTAGCAAAATTTTCCCTAAAAATCAACTGTGTTGTATTTATTATCCACTATTGATTATCAGAAAAAATAATCTAATTATAACCCAAATTATACGAAAAAAGTCTCTGATAAATGCTTTCATGAAAATAGATATTACATAGGAATCTATGTGTTTCAAAATACTAGACAAACACTGTAACCTCATGCGGGATCACTTGTTCCCAAAAGGTTAAGATGAGAACAACAAATTTATGGAATTATATTCAGAGTGAAACAAGATCAAATGACTATTCAATCGAATTTTCCTACTCTATAATCTTATACATCATTCCTAATTATAGATGTGACAAGTGTTACGTTGATGCATCCATCTCCAGATAATACACAATCATCAAATGCTATTATAATCCAAAATAGAAAATTCATGTATGACAACTATGAATACTAAGAAATCAAGTAAGATATATCTCTAAATAGTGTCTTACGAGTATTTTATTCTTACCTTCTATCCAAATGCTCTTTTTGACTCATTTATCAGTTTCTCCAAGTATCTCTAATGTATATATCACTTAAACTATTGCCCATTTCAAAATATAATGTCCTTCACTGTTTTTTGAATAACTCGAGAACGCAAGTAGCTAGAGACCTGCGATTTTCACCAATCGAAAGAGGAGATCAGGGAACATCTTTTTGTCCAATAATGTATAAGAGGAAATACTTTTAAAACTAATTATTTTCGAAAAACATGTAAAAGAAGGCATGGAAATGACCTACCATCTCCATGAAATTTTGATTTTGACCTTTGTTTTAGATAGAGGGACTTCAAATCTATAGTTTAAGATACAATGCAAATTGGTTCTCTTCTTACATTCTAACGTTGAGCAACGTGAATCATGCGTTTACATACGCAAATAATAGGAATTTTTGCTAATTTTTTACTAAGTTTTCTCACTTTTTATCATAATAGTTTGACACTTTGATGGAAATGTAATGAAAAGTGAGGAAACACGTTATATCTTGAACTATAAATTTCAGATCCCTCCATCTAAATGAAAGGTCAAAATCAAAATTTCATCGAGATGGTAGGCCATTTTCATGCTTTCTTTTACATGTTTCTCGAAAATAATTAGTTTTAAAAGTATTTCCTCTTATACATTATTGGGAAAAAAGATGTTCCCCGATCTCCTCTTTCGACTGGTGAAAATTGCAGATCTCTAGCTACTTGCGTTCTCGAGTTATTCAAAAAACAGTGAAAGACATTATATTTTGAAATGGACAATAGATACTGGATTCCTATTTCGAAGTTCTTATCATTTTTTCGAGCTTTTCGACCAAAAACAGCCCATATTTCTTGATCTGAACATCTGTGATTGTTTATAAAATATATTAAGTTCTCTTCAAACCATATCAATGACTTCTGATGTTTATGTATCTTGATATTGTCTCGTTGATAGATACAATTATGGTCTAGGAACTGTTAACCAACAGATTCCGCATACAAAAGAATGGCTTACTCTCAAAAGAGATATCATTTTTGTAGAGATTAAGTATAAAAAATTAGCATATATATATTTCCAAAAAGAGTTTGACATTATATTTACTTGTTGATTTCTTGCTGTAATCTATTCGAATTATGATTTTATGTGTTGTAATTTAATATCAAGCATTATTTTGACATATTCACCATTATTTAAGTTATCTTCTTCTCCCCGTCTGTCAGGATGTGGGTGAAAAGAAGACACATCTCTCACATCGATGCACCCTCTCTCTCTCTCGCTCTTTGATAAAGTAAAATATACAACCATTTATGTTCATTAAAAACCTTCAACACTGAAAGCAAAAGAAAATTTTCTTAACAAACTTTGATTTATTTAGTTATAATATTTATTAATAAATAGAATAGAATAGAATAATCGAACTCTTTTGACAGTCAAAAAAACAACTAAACGTTAATGTTATTAAAGACATCCATATTCTTTTCTCTATTCATCACTCTTCGCATCCTATTTGACACAACTTATTGACAATATTTGGTGAAAATATTATTTTACTTAACTAAGCCAACTATTGATAGAAAAATAAAATTATTTCAGTTTTGATATCACACGTTGAATGTCTTTAGCAATTTCAACTACATTTGAATGTTGAGCGGACAATGATTGACGATAGATACTCTCTGCTTTTTTATAATATTCTAATGCTTCTTTCAAATTATTCATTGTCTCATATAATAGACCAATGCTTTTATAACTTGAACCAATGTCTTGATGTTGAGGAGGTAATGATTTCATTCTAATATCGAACGACGTTTTATAATTGTTCATGGCAAGCTGATACTTGCCAACACTACGATAAACATCACCTATGCCAGTATGATTTATAGCCATATCTGGATGATTTGAAGGTAAATGCTGCTTTTGAATAGCCAATGAACGTTGATAATAGTCCAATGCATCTGAATATTGCTTTTGAGCATAACAAATACGAGCAATACCATGATACAAAGAAGCTACATATGGATGATTTGTAGCATTCGCGCACTTGTAGTAATCCATTGCTGTATTATAACATTTTATTGCCTCATTATAACCATTCTTTTCCATATGAATATTCCCAATACAACAGTATAGACCACCAATGTAGACAAAATCAGATGGTTCCGTACGAATTTTTCTATCCAACGCTCTCTGAAACCATTGTAGACTACGATCATAATCCTTTCTTTCTTTATATAGCATACCAAATGAGAAACATAAATGAGAAAATGATGTATCATCAGGAGAATACGTTTTGCGTAGATCGGAATATATTTTCTCTGCCGAATCATATTTTCCCATATGTTGCAGTACATCACCGAAAGATTGAAGATTAGTTTCATTCTCACCACCTCCATAATCTGCCTTCAATTGATTGAAAAGCTTCTTCAAAGCATGATTATCATCTTCTGCTAATTGCATTTTAATTATCCAGATTTGTTCATTATCAT